CCCAGTGTCTACTACTACTACTACTATTACTACTACTACTACTACTACTACTACTACTACTACTACTACTACTACTACTTTTATTATGATTAGTAGTATTGCTATTATGCTTTATTTTTATTGCTGTTATTGCAGCCTCCAGGCCCGGAAGCTCCAGTTGCATCGGAGGGCCAGCTGCAGACTCAACCACATCCTCCTAAGATCAGATGACCCATCAAGTCGGCTTCTTGTGGGCAAAGCTCGTTCACATATCTGTTCATTCTTTCGGTGCCCTCTCTATCTGCTGCCAAAAACCAGTCCCTCGCAGTTGGTAACAGTCGGCTTAAGGAGTTGTGTAGCCGAACGATTGGCACCCGACCGAGCTGCTGTGAACTGCAATCCCACGGCTGTCTCTGTGCCATTAGTTTCCAAGGAGGGGCGTAGTTCTCTGTAGCATTCATGATTGATTCATCGTGCTACTCACCGCAGCATGCCGTGAAGCACACAAACTACCAGGACATGGAGGAAGTCGGTTCATGGAAAAAGCACAAGCGATGGGGAAAAAAGCTTGCACCATCCGCAGCGTACGCATGCTGTTCCCTGGTGTGGTCGACGCGTGCACGACATGGTCGCAGCGTTTGCAGCTGTCCGGCGCTGACGAGTTCCCAACTGCCACCAACTCCCACTCCGCCCATCATTAGCCAAGTGACCGGGTAAGCTGCACCTGCCAGATTCTGTTGGAATATGTCAGAATCTGAGAAGGGAGCAAGGCAGACATCAGCACCCGGGCACACAACTTGAACCCCAAACCCTGAACCCTAAACCCTCAACCAATGCAAGGGCAAAGCACAGCATCTCGGCTTCGGCGCCTAGCGGCCAAAAGTCGCAGCCGTGCGGCACCTTCGGATGATCCGGGCAGCCAAAGTAGCCTTCAGGCAACTGCCAAGCTGCATCTGAGCAGACTGAGTGGATACTAGTTCTATATTTCAATATGACGGAGGCCCTAGACCATATACACAGTGCAACGCACTCTCAAACACAAGTCTCTGAGCGTATCTGCCGGTCTCGGCCTGTTATTCGAAACGCCTCGCGGGCACAGATCGCCGGGAACAGGGCAAAGTCATCCCATGCCTCTTTGGCACGACTTCGGAGGCATATGATTGCGAGGCAGCTCAGCATGCCAAGACTGCATAGGTCGTGTGATCTTGAACATTTGTAGGGTTTAGGGTTTAGAGTTTGGCTCACTGAAGCGGGTCAAACCCGCCTTGGGGATGTCGAAGGCCTTCCCGTACCTGACATGTTCCGATGCTTGGAAATTGAACATGCTACTGTACTGTGTGCGAGTCTGTGTACGTACTCTATCGAGACAACGGAACTGATAATTCTTGTGACAGCTCTGGCATTAGACCCCTCAGTGGCATAATTCATGGCGTCCAGGTGCCAGATGCCATTGACACCGAAGCTTACCTCGCGCCGATCTCGGTCCTGCTTCGACAGCAGCAATAGTGTAAAGACAAACCTCTTGTCTGATCAAAGGAGCTTTGCCAGAAATAGAGTCCAGACAGCACGTGACCACGTCGCCGGCTTCAAAGGCGGCACCGTAGTCTGCGAACTTGTTCCTGTGGCCTGGGCCAGAAAACGTATGTATTGAGGCCCGAGAGTTGCTACGTTACGGCCGATCGCCGATAGCATCCGCTATCCGCTTCCCTGCCAAGCGGCTCTTCTTTCCAGTGCCACCGAAGCCGAAGCCTTCCGCATCCTTCCGACTTAGGACTTCTCATCTTCTCACACCCGTGAAAGTGAACCAAGTACGTCTGAAGTCAAGAGCACATGCCTAGCCATGGACTCAAGGTTGGCACACGTGCAACACACCCGGCGAAATCAAGACCGGCCCACTTAGGAAACTCCCATCCGGCCGTGCCAAGTGCCAGGGACGCTGTGGACGATGACCAGCCCACTCGGAGGAGGCCCTCCGTGACCTTCACCTCGAAGCAGTATTGGCCTGCGGGGCAAGACAGGATACTGCAAAAGCTTCAGCTGACGAAACCCGGCCACCTGAAACCACGCCGGGACGTCCTCGCAGTCCGATCCAGGCGCGCTCGGTGCTTGCACAGGCGGCTTTATAGCAGCCTGCAGAGGTCGCAGGCTGGCAGCTGATAAAGATCAAAGCCGTGCGAACTTGCCTCCAGTGAGCGGATCTTGCTCAACCTCGATTTCAGCATCCTTGGTGTTTGGATCCTTGGTCAATTGAAAGTGAGTTGGTATCACCTTTCTGTCCCCGTGCCAACTCAAGCGAGCCGCCCATCCCGCAAGGGTCGCGCCATGGCGGCGCTTCATGGCACATGCCGCTGCAGTGTAGGGTTTACGGTTTAGGGCTTATCTGTACAGGAAACGAAGATCATGGGTTCCAGCTGATTCCGGCTGCTGCGGACGCTGCAAACAGACGGGCCTACCATGTCAGATCGGGTCTGCAAAAGGCTTACGAGGAGCCTCAAGCCACGCCATGACATCAGATCGGCAAACGAAGCAGCAAGGTCGAGTCATGATCTCATCAATACAGACCTAGAAGGCGAACACATTGCTGTCCCTAGGCAGCCAGACATTGATGATGTCCATGGGGATTTCGAAGGTTCATGGTACAGGCTCTGTCTCGGGGAATTCTCGCAGTCTGAGACCGATCTCGACCGGCCGAGTGGAATGCACAGCTTTCGTGAGGCAGAACCTTTGCGAAGTGATGCGACTGAGCTCAGTAAGTGATCTCGCCTCGCCATTGTTCAAGAGGCTCGAAGTGTCTTCCAGGAAGGATTCCTGATGCTCAAGACAAAGACTCACACCGAAGCGTGAACACCGACTGCTATGTTCAAGCGAGTCCGCCTTCGGAATCTGGGTGTCTGCAAGCAGAAACGTCACCTTCACAGATATTATGTTGACAATACAAGCACCAGGAGTTTGCACTGGATACTTCCATTCGTTTCCATCATGAACTACATGAGGGTGCACACCTGCGTGGAGCTTCCGACCATCATGAGCAAGCGCTTCACCTTGTCAGGGCAAACTTGGTCTGTCAGACGTGCTAAGTTTCTAGACTACCCGTCAGAGAAGGAGTGCTTGAACAGTCTCCAAGCTGTGGGCATCATCGTGCCAGTCAGAGACAGTGTAGTTCTTGGTGATCTCAATAGAGAACTGCTCGTACCTGAAACCGTCAAAAACACCCTAATCTGAGCATCAGTCGAGTCTCGCAGAAGTCCAGCTCACAAAAGCTCGGCGCACTCGGCCACAAAGGTGGCTAAGGATGCCAGACTCTTCCGGCCACTGCCTGATACGATCTACTACCCTTCCATTCCTCGCATCTTTGTAGCTAAGGTTTAGGGCTTTAGGTTTAGGGCTTAGGGTTGCTTCCAGCCTCCGACGCCCACTAGCAGCGAATTCCCGAGAGGAGTCTTCAACACCCGCACCTGAAGCACGGCGGCACACAGCCGGAGATACTAGCATTCATCTAGCCCACATCACATCACGAATCCGAAACCACTCTCCTTTCTCAGACGACAATGCACGCGTGTCCCCTACTAGGAGCCGGACGATACGGCAGATGTGCTGGGCGGCAGCCCTGGAACGAGCAAAGTCCACTTTGTCTTGCATTTTCGTGAGCTCTTCGTATGATCATGATGCGACCGTGGCCAGCTCGGGCTGTGGCATGAACAGGACGAGCTCCATGCCGCGCTTTGCCATGGAGTTGTAGTCCATGAGACGGTTCTTCCTGGCACGCAAGCCTTGTATTTAAGCGTCCTAGGCGAAAGCTAGACCTCACGTGTCATGCAACACATGCAAGCGTAGCAGCACGTCATCCAGCTGCTCATAGTCGATGACCTGCTGATAGTATGGTGCCTTGCCTGAGCCGTGGGACAACTTGGCACTGCAAACCTGCCGTGCCTGCACACGGAGATGCTTTGGCCAAGCTGAGTATGCCACTGTCAGCGAAGTCAATAAAAATTAGCGGCTCCTGCACTGTGAACTAATGGGCGGCCGCGCTTCGATGCAGCTACCATCACCCATCCTGTTTGACGACGGCTTTCCACTGCTTCTTGAAGTGCTCCTGTGCATCATGGCGGCCAGCACAACCATCAACCAAACGCAGCAAAAACCACTTGACCCATTTGCTGACTCGGCTAGTTTGCACTGGAACAGCCACGGAAGGAATTTGATGTGCCCTGACTTCTCCTGCAACTTCTCTTGCAGGAGCTCGTTGAACCATGCCTCAGCAGGCACGACTTGGCTTCATAATCACGGTAGGTGTATGCTTGAGTTGGGGGCATTATCCTCATCATTGACGAGCCGGTCCTGTCAAGGGGTTGCAGCACGACAACTCCGAGCAGAGCACTAAGAGCACCTCAAGCCTAAAACCCCTTTCCGCAGTGGCATCGACTGCGCCACCGAGCCATGAAACTTGTGCGATCCGAGATCTTCCTTCTAGAAGTACCTCATAACTATTCATCCTGTTCTCAGTATCATTATTACTACTGTTGTTCTTGTTATTGCTACGGTTATTATTGTTGTTTTTTCATAACAAGAGTAATGCGATTAGTATTTTCTGACTAGCATTGTTATTGTTGTTCTTATAGTTATTTCCTTCCCCTCTGCTCACGGAGCCTGGAAGACCCGCTGGCATTCGTGAACCCAGCATCGGATGAAGTCGTCCGGGGTCGGCAGAGACTCCTTGCTGCAGAGGCAGATGCCCTGGTTCACCTCGGCGCAAGCTGCTCCGTTTGCATCGGAGGTGTGCGACACACATGTGTGTTCGCATGCTACGTTCTGTTCCTCAACACAAAGCGAGAGACAGATAGAGAGAGAGAGAGAGGGAGAGAGAGCGCGGGAGAAGGAAACAGCGAGAGAGACAGAGAGAGAGAGAGAGAGAGATGCCCAGATGGACATGGAAGCGTCTCCTGGCCTTGGCGAGATCTCTCAGGTTGAAGGTGTAATGCGACCTGAAGCCGGATGCGCCGGCAGAGGGCAGCATAACTATGACTAGCGGTGCTTCTTAGAGAGATCGCTTCCGGGATGATCACTTAGCGGGCGTCGGCAGCATGTTGGCCGAGATCGAATGGTAGATGTCGACCTGAGTATATGCCGCGCCACGAAAGCGCTTTCTAGTTGAAAGTAGCAGCCGTTAAAATTGAGGGCTCTGCAGTTGCTCGGACAACGTTCCCGCTGAGTGCACCAACCTGCGTGCATGTCAGGCGAGATGGGAGCCCGGCCCTGATTCCCAAGCAGATTGCATCGGAGAATCCTAGTCTCACCAGCCTGACTCGGGAACTTGGCCAGGTACCACTGCCTCAGTCTTGCGAAACTGAAAGGCAGAAGCTTGGGCATCTGCGCCAACTGGGGGACCAGACAGGACTGTCTGAAAGATTCGGTGAAGACTCTCTCCTTCGAAAGGCAAGACGTAGAAGTAGTTGTAGTGCCTCGCAGGCACATCTTGCAATCGAAACCTTCCTGCAGAACACGGAAAGCTACTCCGGCACACAAAGCCGAAACCCTAAACCCGGAACTGAGCACCCTAAATTCCGAACCCTGAACCTAGACCCTACATAAGTGTCAAGTGCTCACAGAGATTTTGCCAGACCCGGCCTCAAGTAGCGCGCGGTGATTTGTGGCCGACCAGCACTGGGGGTGAGTGCAGCAATGAAGTTCAAATCCACCAATTGGCGATACCTGGAGCCAGGCCAGGGCGATCGTGAGGGGATAAAAGGGTCCGGATGGAACTCTGGAAGTTCACAGCCAACACACACGAAGACGAAAGCAGAACTCGTGGACCAGGCGCCGGACTCACAGGTCTTTCTTTCGTACCACCCACTGGTGTCCATCCACTGCCTAGCAGCTTTGATGCAAATCACAGGCACTCCGATACGCCTGCGGCCACTTGGCTACATCACTCCGAACCGAAGAACACCAGATGATTAGGGGCTTCCTGCGAACAAAACCCACGCTTCATGTGCTGAACGCACCTCAGCAACTCGATCGGCGGTTGAGCACCATACTTCTCCTGTGCCGCAAGTTGTCCCGACAGAAGTCGGCATGCCACGGCACATGGTAAGGGGCCGATTGATGCTAGACCTAGGGCCTCTCAGAGTCTAAGTTGTGAATGAGGTTAACCCTGTATAGAGCCCACGGATACGAAAGATGCCTTCGCCGGCATGTTCAAATCGTCCACAAAAACGAGGCAGCGCTTTCCAAAGGGTGGGCCATAGCAGCCCTTCTTCCTGCACTGGGAGGAGCTGATGATGCGATCTGCTGCGAGTACCACTGCGATACCTAAATCCGATTCTGTGTCGCTTGCACCAAATCTGGTGAGAGACAAAGGCCCGTCAGCCTCTTGTCCAGTTTGCCATCGATCACATCCTGCGTGCGACAACAAGCTGTGGCACGTGCGACATGCGTAGTCGACCAAAGCTACGGATGCCTTGGATCAAAGTGACTGCTCTGAGACAGAAAACACACATTGACATCGCAGGAACCCATGTTCAATCTATCCTCACTGCAAGGAGCCCGAAAGTCTTGGTCATCCTGCGTCTGGTTTGCACTGGACTGGGCACTGAAGGCAAAGGCGAACGTGTTGTACTTCCTTGGTGGCTGTTTTGGACCGTATTGCTCTCGAGGAGACATGTCATCCGTGGATTTCACCCAGTTTCCACCACTCCATCAACTTAGTCTCTCTCCGAGTGTCGACCCCTACGGAGTGACAAGGAGTTCCCACTCGAGATCATGGTCAGCCAACCATACACTCTACACAAGGACACAGCGTCTACATGCTGTGCGCACTTACTTTGTCACTGCACAGCACAGCGTGAACGGTCTGTGTCGCCAACGTTTGAGTTGCTTAGGTCTCGGCTCCCTGTCGAAGCCCTTGAGAAGCTGCTGCTGGATCACCACCGTCTTGCCAGTCCCCGTCGGGCCTGCACAAACCCAAGGACGTTAGAGCTTTTTTCGGAGATGTCCCCCTGCAATGAAATCAAACAAAGTCCAAGCACTTCGAAGCTGGCCTGCAAAGAGCACGTGGCACTCTGCCTTGATCAGCATCTGGAGGAAGAAAGCATTCCTGCATTCGGTCGAAAAACTCTTAAGTTTCGCATTTTCTCCCACGACGCCGAAAGCTTCAGACACGCAAGCTCCATCCTCACGGTGTCGGAGGTGGGGACGATGAGCGAGTGGGCCTTCGCAGTCGCAGGCGGCGCACGCGGTTGAACTTTCCCAAGCGCAAGAGCGTCCGTGCCTGTGCATCTTTGGGGATCTCGAAAGTGCCGATCTTCTTGCTCCAGGGCTCCCACCTGAATTCCCACATGCACGTCACGAGACGCTGGACCCCAAAACCCCGGAAGCCTTTATCCCAAGCTTACATAATACCCTACGAGCAAATCAAAAAAACTAACCCCCCTCTCCCAAAAAGAATCTAAAAGACGCGTTAACCCTTCAAGCCCTACTGTAGCCAACACCTAAAAGTGACAACCTTTTCAAACTTCAACCTACAACAAACACGCTAGAACCCTCAAGCCCTCAAACCCCAACCTCAAAAACAACTGCCCAAATCAGACAACAAACCCTAAATCCTAGACCCTAAACTCAAGAACAATAGCCGTAAACCCAGACCCTTAACCTTAACCCGTCCCTGAACCCGAAGCCACGAAACCACAGCTCCAAATGCGGATCCTAAACCCTGAACCCTGAGGCCTAAACCCCAAGAGCAATGGCCCTGAAACCCTGACAGAGGCTCAGACTTGCAGCTCGGTCCCACAGGGAAGAAATCGAAGACGGCGCCTTCTTCCGGGAAGGGCGGCGACCTGGTAGAAGTAGGGTTTGGGACTTATGATTTCGGGATTTGTAAGATGCCAATGTGAGAGTCTTTAGTGCTTCAGGCTCTTTTGGGGTTTTGAGGGGTGCAGTTTAGGGTTTGGGGTGTCAGTCTTCATTTTGGAGGTTTAGGGCCTTTAAGGCTCTTGGGGTGTAGGGCCCTAAACCCTAAACCCTAAACCCTAAACCCTAACCCCTAACCCCTAACCTTTATGGCCGGGTGTTGGGGGGGAGCTCTGGGAGCCCGGCCCGCCGCGCAAAGACCGTTGAGCCGGCCTGGGTCCGGGGAGAGAACAAAGGGCGGTTTTGGGCTCAGGACATTTGGGGTGTTAGGGTTTAGGGTTTAGGGTTTAGGGATATTTGGGGTGTTAGGGTTTAGGGTTTAGGGTTTAGGGTTTAGGGATATTTGGGGTGTTAGGATTTTGGGGCTTAGGGATATTTGGGGTGTTAGGATTTAGGGTTTGGGGTTATTGGGGGTGTTAGGGTTTAGGGAGGTCGGATTTCAGGGTTTAGGGATGTCGGACATCCACTTGCTCGGATGACCGCTCATCAGATGATCCGAGCCGACGGCTCGTCACAGAGAAGCCCGAATTCCTCCTTCATTCCCTGCGTGTGCCCTGCAGATCAGTTTGTTTACCATCTCGCAGTCGGCAAAGAGGTCCTGACAACTTGCCGGCCTGAGGCCAACTTTCGGAGGAAGGGCTCGAGCACATTCCTCCCATCGCTGTCCGTGACGCACCCGAAGCTCCACACCAGACCTGGCCATGACCAAACTGACACCGACGGTGCAAACAGCGCAGAATCCTTCTGTTCTTTCAAGCGTGCTGGCAGGACTCAACCAAAACAGCGCCTGCAACACAGGGGCGTGAAGCAAGTAAGAAGGACACTGGCCAGCGCTGATGAATACTTAAACCACACATGAGCTTTGTCTGAACAAAGCAAAGCTTGGGAAGTTTTTCGGCAAGCGCTGCCGCACTTCCGCACGTATCCATGCTTCGTGCTCGCTTCCCATCCTTCAAATCAAAGCATGTCTTCATGTCATGGATGAACTGCAGCAAACTACAGAGGACTGAACTCTCAGGATCACTTGCAAAAAGTGCAAAAAGTGCGTCCTTATGCATGCCAAGGCTCCAGGAGTGGTCAGCATCTTTGGCAGGCCAAACAAAGCAGTCCCAGGAAGCACTAGAAGTGGCCGCGCTCGATACAGACCTGATGCTGTCAGTCTGTGACGGCGTGCCGCTTGGCAAGTCCTGAAGTCATCTAGCCGCTTGCCTGCTTACGTATCACAAAAACGCAGGGACGGACGGGTCTTTATAACATGGCTTGCTTGACGGAATTCTGGCCTTTGGCCTTGCTCTCCCAAGGAATCAACCAAGCCTCGCGCCTCGAACCATCGAAGGAGGATACGATCAAAGCCGAGATCATGTCCTCTGCAAGGCATCAACAGGGGATCCGGCTCCCGGCTCCGACAGAGCAGCTCCTCCACTCCCGCGGCACGCAGCGAGCTGGTCCAGAGAGGCTCCGATGCTGGCGGCCTTCATAACAGGCTCCAGACTTCAAGGCGCTGCGAGCGATTGCAACTGTGTGAGTGAAGGTGATGCAATCCCGGCCTCGCACGGTCGGCGGCATAGGCGGCCGCACTCTGGCGATGCTCCTCGTCGTGCGAGTGGGCGGAACCCGGGCAAAACACTTGTTTGAGCCATGCCTCGGCGTAGAAGGCGGCATGATTCCAGCCAGGTCTATCTGGCAGCCAAGGTGGAAGCGCCTGCATGCCAGAGCTCCGGAAAGTTTGTGCACATGAATCCAGCACAGCCATCATCACAAGGCTGCCGGGTCTATCCTCGGTGGACAAGTTCGGGAACTCGCCGATCATGACCTCCAGTTTGAAAGCCAGTCTCTCCGCCAGATCGAGGCTTTGCATCCAACGTAGGAGCTGTTTCGATCTCCCAGACCCAATCTGAGAGCCCTAAGAAATTTTGCTAAATATTCCTCAACCCCAGACCCGAAATCCTTAACCCTAAAGGTCCTAAAGGTCCCAAACCCTTCCAAATTGTAACGAAAGTGTAGGGCCCCAGGCCAGGGTTCCATTTTGGGACTCCAGGTGATCGCAGGCCCCGGCGACGAGGCCCCTCGTCACTGACAGGCCGTCACGGCCTCGTCCGGGTATAGCAAGATGGGATTCTTGGGATTTAGGGTTTAGGGGATCTGGGGAGTTTGAGCTTAGGGCTTACGGCTTTTTGGTTTTAGAGGTTTTGGGGGCTGCCCGCCTCCATGGACGTAGAGAGAAGCTTTTACATTTTCCGGGGCCGCAACGAACGGTGGATTTGCCACCTCAGGTCATGGAAAATGCATCCGTTGCCCCGGACCACACAAGGAAATTACAGGGAACTGAAGAGTCACGTTCAACGCTGAATCTCTCAAATAAGCCACGATCAAGTCGAAGCCACGCATGTCTGCAATGCCTTCCTGAGCTCTTGCAACATATTTCTGGACTGGAATCCAGGACGGGGGACAACTATGCAAAAAAACTATGTGGTGCAGACTCAAGTCAATAGCCTCAAAGAGGTCCCCCTGGCAAACGGTCAGCCTGGAACCCAAGTCGTTGATGAGGCCATTGGCCTCATCAGGGACCCTGCTGTTCAACGTACAGGTACCACTTTGCCGCTGCTTTTATCCAACCCTGCGGGGTCACGAACGGAACAATGCTAGCATGCGGCCCCCCTTTGACCCAAGAGCTGACGTCCGAAGGCTTCAGCTCTCGTGCCTTCGCGATGCTTGCTGCGCGCGGGCTGAGATCCACCGCGACCGCCTGCTCAGGGCTTCCCAGCATCTCCTTTCCTCTTCGGGGGTTCAGAAGGGGGGGGGCCTTTCAAGGCGGCCAAAGGAGGGGCCCTGCCCTCACCTCCTCCGCTCCGCAGCGCAGGGCATGCAGTGCAGCGATACCGCTGCCTGTGCAGAGGTCCAGCACCTCGCGTTTTCCCCGTGGTCTTCAGAGGAATAGAGCTCGTTTAGTTGTTAGGTATAGTATCCTATAATTGAATAAGGACCCCCCAAAATAATAGAGATCCCTTAAAGTTTCGACTCCAAGTGCTGCTGATCCGCTCGGAGGCCGCTGAGGTCAGACTTCGCCTGGCAAGAGACGAAGGATCTCTTGGGCCGGAAGAAGTCTGTGAAGTCTTGGCCCTTGGCCTGGCCTTCTCATCGCCTGGAGAGAGCGCCAGGCACCTGAAAGTCAAAAAAAAAATGTGAAAGCTCCCTCCACTGCCCTGGAACCCTAAACCGCTAAACCCTAAACCCTGGAACCCTGGAACCCTGGAACCCTGGAACCCTAAAAGTGAGTCTGAGCCCTTCGGCAGCTCCAGGGAATCCGTGCCGATGGCCATCACCTGACATCTTTTAGGGATCTCTATCATTTTGGGGGGTCCTTATTGCTTAGGGCTGAGGGTTTAGGGTATAGGATATTATGCCCAACAACTACAGGATCTCTTCTGATGGGAGCTACGGTTGAAGGATTTTCTCGGCAACTGGCTTCTTGGAGTATCGTAGCACCCTGCGATCAAGGCTTTCTACCCAGCTTCGGCTTGAAGACACGGTTGATGATGTAAATCCTACATTACCCATAATAACGAATATTAATATACCATAATTCCCGTATTTAGGGCCCTCAAGGCAATGCAGGATTTAGATCATCAACCGTACGACTGCGAGTTTGTTCTGCCAGCTGGCCGGCTCGTCACCGGGTGGCCCCAGCGTCACGCTGGACCAGTCTGTAAGCAGGGCGAGGCCTCTTCAAAACGACCCCACGGCTCTCCGAAACGGGACAAGGCAAGGCAAAGCTTCGGCCTCTGAAGGGGTAGAGCTGCAAACCGGAAGCCAAGTGTCCGGGCAGAACTTCCTCCAAGAGCGACTTGCAGCGACTTCAGAACACAGGACAACGCAATGCAACATGCTGTCCTCCAGCAAGCCAATATCAAGCATGGCGTTGACCTGTATAAGGTCGCACAATGTCGCACACTCCGATTCCCAGGTGCACCTGCTTCACGCGATCATGCTTGAACCCGCCTCTGCAGCGAAAGCTGCCACTTCTGCACGAGGTAGCGCCTCGCCGATGCAGAGCAGCCGCACCTTCTGACGTGTCACAAGCAAGGGAGAGATCCTAGTGACCCGGTGTGGAGCCATGTTGCTGCATCGCATGTCAATTGCGGCAGAGCCACCCAGGGCTCCGGTGCCAACACGGAGGAAGCGAAGACCTCGCTGAGACACTCGGACTCCGACCTGTCAAAACCCTCATCCGTCGGAGGCTTCACGTGTTTTTTGAGCACATCTCAACCCAGCTGCTTGAAGCGAAGCTGGTGCAGCTCCGAAGCTGGCAGGAGCCCTGGACAAAGCTGAAAGGCTATTCGAGGTCCGGGTTGGGCATCCTTGCTTTGGAGACCGCCCTGGGCCGTCAGCAATACAGCCGGTAGAGCACTTGCTGGCGCATTGGGTGTTGCAAGTGCAAGTAGCGCATTACAATCTTTCTCCGGCCTGTAGCTCGGAAAGGACGCCCTTTGTCACAATGTTGTTCTGTTCTTGTAGATCTTGTGCTGTTTGGTTACATGAATTACATGACACACTACATGCTGATCAGCACAGCCACCATCCACACTTTCACTATAATCATGAAGAACAACACCCTCATTCTATCCCGATCGAAAACTTGGGCCCAAATAAGCAGTTTGTGAGTGGATGATTCTGGAGGCTACTCTTCTTCCAGAAGTAAGACCTGCCTTGCAACACCGTGGCATCGATCTTAAGGCCGCGAAGCACTCCTGCGAGCTTCAAGACGGCCTCTCGGCAAAATCAAAGCACTGCACGTGAAGATGATCTAAATGCCCGTCGCCTCCGGTTCCGTACACAAGCCTCCGGAGGTCAGCAGAACGGCCCGTGAGCGCACCTGCACCGCACACTCAGGGACTGCTATGTCACCGGTGGCATCACTCGGAGCCGCCGATGACGAAAGAGCCTCGGCCACGCTGCGCAGTGCCCGGCGCCAAGCCGCTCGTGCTTGGTCCAGTTTCCCCAAACTTCGCAGGGCGAAGCCCAAGTTCCTGAGCTGCAAGGCCGGAAAACTCCGTGGCATGCAGATTTACACGAAGGTTCGGTTCTGAACGCCTATCGACTCAGACAAGCCGCAGCAACACGTCGCTCGGAACCTCACCTTGGTTAAGATTTGCAGAAGACATGATGCTGTGTGTCCTGCAAGAATGATACTAGTAGATCTACTAATCAATGCTGCCCAATCTCCAGAGGACGCCTCACTGATGGAAGCGCTTTGCTGGTACGCTGCCGCTGCCTCTTCGAATCGTCCTTCTTCGTCCAGCTTATTGCCCAAATTGAAGAGCTCATCTGCATGACATGAACCGTCGCCATCTGCAGCGGCGTTTTCCATGGCGCCGTGGTGAATGACATCACAGTGACAAAACTCGAAGAAAGCTAGTAATTAGCTTGTTGCTTTCTCTACGAAGCGCAGAAACCTCATACGCCGGGCAAGGATTTACTTTGGAGCGCGCGAAGCGACCTGGGAGAGGCATTTTGCTTGGACCGGAAAGCCTTGGGAGCACACCCTCGTGGTAGACTTTCAAGGTCATGCAAGGCCTGAGCACCATCCCCAAGGCTGACCGGCACTGCCTCGACTTTCGCTTCCTTCTCCTTCACGGCCACATCCTGACAGGAAAAACGGAACACATCGCGCTGCCATGCACGGCCTGGTAGCTATTGTCCTTGGTGCTTGGATCCAGTGGTAGCTCTGCCTCCGATGCAAATTCGAAGCTCTGATGCGATTACACGCTCTTGATGATGACGCAAGGAAGACCAAGTAGGAATCCACAATAGTAATAATAATAACAATAGTAATAATAATGATAATAATAATAATAGTCATGATAATAACTAATAACATCCCGTGCCTGCAGGAGCGCCCAGAGCAAGTGCAGGAGGTTTAGCACCAGCCAGTTGACGCTCACAGGCACCGGCTTCGACACCTCCAAGTCCACCCCATTTCTCAATCTATGTAAGGTGTAGGGTTTGGGGTTTAGGGTTTAGGTTTCATACATAATACATACCTACATACATACATACATACATACATACATACATACATACATACCCACTACAGACAAGCAGGCAGACGGACGGACGGACGCACGAACGGGGGGAGACAGACAGACAGACATCGTATATGTATATATGGTATACGGGAGTAGTTCCATGCTTGGATATTCTTATATCTCTGCAAATCTACCTGCAACCCTACCTACCTACCTACCTACCTACCTACCTACCTACCGAGGTAGCTTCCTGGCAGTATCTGTACTTACATTTTCTTATCTATCTCGATTTACGTGCCTGCACACATGAACGCTCGTGTGCAAATTTATGTATGTAGGTATGTATGTATGTATGTATGTATGTATGTATGTATGTAGGTATGTATGTATGTATGTATGTACGCATGTATGTATGTATGTATGTATGTATGTATGTATGCATGCCTCTATGTACACATATGTGCGCATAGATACATACATCAAAGAACTCTAGAAGAATCAGTAGAATCAAGCACCACAGTGGCTGCCAGGTGCTCTCCCACTGCCGCCTTTCTGGAGACCATCTCGAAGACGGCATCCAGGCAGGAGTCCATCAGCTCCTGATACCGAACAGCAGGAAAACTGAAGGCTTCAGTTTCTGGCTGCAGGCTCGCTTCCATGGCAGAGCAAGGCAGGAGGCACAGGGAGAAAAAGAAGCACAAAGGACAAGGCAGCAGCAGCTGCAGTGGCAACAGCACAATTCCACAAGGTAACGAGCACAGCAATGACGACAGCTACCGCAATCAGTAAGAGGAAAACATAGAAAAAAAGGTCGGTGGAATTTACTTTTCTGCTTCATACGTTAAGGGCGTAGTTGGGGGCGACTTCGAGCTGCGACAACATTCCACGATCCCGATGCCCGACAAGCTGCTGTTGGTCCACTTGAGAAGCCTCTCGAGCCGTGATCTATGAAGCCTTCATGGCCCACCTCCGGGTACCTCACCGTAAGTCAAGTAGAAACACTAACAAGAAACCTAAGCCGCTGCGGGGAAAAAGCCACAGAAGCAGCATCGGCAACCAGTCATCAACCCAACAACATCCATGACGAAAGCATCAATTCAAGGGCCAGCGACGACACGTAAATCCAATCCATCGTTAGTACTTCCTTGTACAAAGCTTTGCAGAGACAGCCAAATCTCCAAAATTTCGACGGAGTGCCTGCAGCAAGGCTGCCTGGTCTTTGAGCCGGTCTGGCAACCGTTCGCACCTGGGGCGCAGTCCACCAACGACTCAGCTTAGGGTTCAGGGATTTTGAGTTTGAATCCCCTAAACCCGAAAGCCCAAACCCCCAAAACCCCCAATCCCCAAAACCCCTAAACCCTAAATCCTAAACCCAAAGCGTACCCAACATGGCTGCTCCTGCATCTGGGCTACCAGGAGCTCAGGAGCACTCGCCAGCCGATGTCCTGCTGCTCCAGGAACACCATGCCACAACGCGAGACCTTTGAGGGGTTTAGGGTTTAGGGGACTCAAAACAGAACTTGATGCTAAGTCGAAGAGGGCTCACAGATACGGGCTTCTGGGCTTCTGATTTTCCAGTCTACACAAAATTCACGTCATGTTCATGCGGACTCGTGCACAAAGTGCACTGCTGTCACATTCCCATCACAATAGTGCTGCAAAAGACAGAAAGTGTGTCAAGAGTTCACGGTGACTTTGTAGCTGCACGCACAAACGCACATGTCGGTTATCACGAAACGAAATCAGTGAACTGCTTCTGCAATGGACTGCGCTGCACCGAGGGATCAAACAAAAAAACGCTAGCGATAGGGTAGAAAAATTACATGCTGTCTAAAGCTGTAAAATACAGTGTCAAGCATAAGTTCCAGGAGATCGACGGTCGCTGGAGACGCCGCAGACAAGTCCTCCACCTGCATGGGATGCACAATACAGCCACCTTTGTGCAGCTTCGTGCGTCAATGATGACATAAGCGGGTCTGAATGTAAGCGGCTTCAGATTGGCCGGCCTCAAACATCATCGTGGTGACTGGCGTCAACCTCAACCACATGGATTGAGGATGGTGGGTGAGTCATAACAGTCACAACCGCCATGTCACCACGACCTACCGGTCAAAAGCTGATAAGCTTTATGTCTCGGGCCTTACAGCTTCCGTTCAGCTTGCACATAGAGCCGTTTGCTCTTTAATGGGCCTGCCTTCCTGTCTTGCGACTCCTGAGGGATGCGCTTGATGATTTCACCACTGTTCAAGCATAGCTTTTTGTTGTCGTCAAGGACTGTGTTCAAGTTCTCGATCCAAACCTGGCATGCAGAAAGAAGCCCTGGCCTTAAAACATGTAACATGTGCCGAAGTTTTGCAAATCTCAAGACATGCTGGTGGACTGCATCGACAGGACCATCAAGCAGAATCCATTGCCTGCATGGATCCGGCACAAGCAAACTGCCAGCCATTGGGGTTGCATGGCTGAAAGCACATACACTTATGACACCAGCAACGCGCACCGCATTTAGGGATTCACACTGCGCGTCTTGCAGGACTTGCCTTTTGGATTGTTCCGCTGCTGAAGCATGGCGCACTGTCAGAGCCAGGATGCCGTCCTTGGCACAGCGGCGCTCAAACCGAGAACAGAATCTCCATTTGGGACCACTGTCTGAGCTGGCTGCTGTCCATTCGTGGGTGGCTTCATCATTTTCACCGTACAGCTGGCCCTGCGTAATGGACCTTGCAGCTTGAGTGTGGTCTTCTGCCCCAGCATGGCATCTGCCTCAAATCGGGGCGGCGCTTTGGATTGATCTTGTGGATGAGCACCTCAAACGTACTATGTGCTTGTGGGGAGACGTGTCTCAATCCATCATTCGACTTCCACAGTCCAAGTGCTGCGGCTGGCAGATAGCTCTCGCCATCGGCTACGGCCGCAAGTGCTGCAGCCAGGACCTTAAGAGACCATCTCAAGGTTGGGGCTTCAATGCCCGCGATGCGCACTCCGTGGGTTCTCTGCTACCAGATCGGCGAATCTGCACCTCTGCCACACTTCCCAGCAACAACTACTGCGCCTGTCCTGTGGCTAGTGATGTATGTGTAAAAACATAAATATCTATATATATATATAACATATAGATATGTATATTTATATGTATATATATGTGTGTATGCATACATCTACATCTACATATACATATACATATACATATACGTACATATATATATATGAGAGAGACAC